GCCGCGCGGCGTGGGCGACCAAACTCATTCATGAATTGTTTAGGCCCAATTTATATTTATGTTTCGCGCGCCGAATGTACGGGTCGCTGCGATATCGCTTCGAATTATTTATCGACAGCTTTATTACGATCGAGAGGCCATATTTCAGTGTGGTATATTGATCGTATAAGCCGTATATACATATATAAATCAAGTTTCGCCCATTGGTCAAATAATCGATTTTTCATGAATAGTTATTTTTATCAGAATCCTCGTACGCGTAATATTCTTAAAAATGGATCCGTATTTTGTTAGTGGGGCAGTATTAATATAATCGATTTTTCTTTATCGAATCTCTAATTATTTACATAATAATTGCTTAATGCTAAGGTCTAATCTGTATATTCTTTTGGCTGTAATTCTGATTTTTTAAGAAATTTTAAAAATGGAAATATTTTATAATAAAATACCAGTAAAGTCACGATAACATATTTTAAAAAAGAATATTGTTATTTAAATTATTCGTCGCACATAGTAATCACACATCAAGAACCTTGTAATTTTAGTAATCATAGTCTTTCCATTGACTTTTTAAGCAACTTTTGAATAAAAAAAAATAGACGCGATATGTAAATCGAATTAAATAGAAATTTAAAAACTTAATTTTTTAATAGTGCTAATCTTTGCATTTAAGATTAAATATTAAAATATGTAGAAAAAGTACGAAAAGATTGTCGCCGCTGTGGGAACCGAACCCACGTCTCTAAGTTAAACGGTTGATTGCCACACCGACGAAAATCTTAACGTGTTTTATCTACATTGTTTTTTAGCATTTGAAGCAATGCTTGGCGCATCCATTGTTTCCAGCATACAAACAATTTCGAATATCGTTTTACAACGATAATTCGAACGAGAGATGTCGCCATCGCTTTTCTTAAAAAAAATTTAAATTTCTAAAAAAAGCAAATTCCGGCCGCAAATGCCGAAGACGAGGGTTCGATTCCCACAGCGGCGACAATCTTTTCGTATTTTTTCTACATATTTTAATATTCGAATTAAATAATAAACAAAATGACTATAACAATAATCAGCAATATAAGAAATGTCCAATAAGTAATATGAAAAAATAAGATTTGGTAAATGATTATCATTGAGTAAATACATCGGAAAACAAATGAACAAAAAAATAATTTAATTACAAAGTTCATTCAGTATAAAATTCATTGATTTGAATAAAATAGCGATATTTTATGTATTATAACACGTTCTTAAATTGCCAGTTAGAAAATTCGTTTGTATTAATACCAGTTCAGTATTGGGAATAAAAAAAACTAGACGCGATAAATCGAATTAAATAATAAACAAAATGACTATAACAATAATATGAGCAATATAAGAAACGACCAATAATTAATATGAAAAAATAAGATTTTGTAAATGATTGAGTAATTACATCGGAAATCAAATGAACATAAAATAATATAAAATAATACAAAGTTCATTCAGTATAAAATTCATTGTTTTATTGAATAAAATAGCGATATTTTATATTTTTATGTATTATAACAGGTTCTTTAATTGCCGTTTATAAAATTCGTTTGTATTAATACCATTTTAGTGTGCAATTTACGAACGGTTAATTCACCATTCAACTATGGTAGGGCCACGCAGCAGAAGAATAACGACCTCAATGAAGTACGGCGTGAAGTGGAAGTGTTATACTTCTGCGTTTCCTCTGTTGTGAGGTAATCAGGATAAACTATATCAAAAGGTCGCGTATCTGCAACGCTACGACATTCCAGATGCCCATGGGAGGCGGTTATCACTTAACTTCAGATGGACCCTACAGATGAAAACCTTTTCGCATAAACAGATCTTTCGAGCTACTTAGGTGCATACCTTTTGAGTTATTTTTCTCAACAATGTAAGCAAAATTGTTTTATTTCTTTTCAGAAAAGTTCAAACAGTAATCATTCGGGGAAGTAACACTTTTGGTGTATACTAGTGCATTTCTATCGGGTGAAGTAGCGTGGGCCCACTCTGCTAAAAGTTGCTACGGATGTGTTTCAAGGGTGATGTGGACTTCGTAGCATTGGAAGCCTTCCCTCTATGTGGATCGACGACATCGTAAGAGTCGCAGGTAACCGGTGGATGCAAAGTATCGTTCGTGGAATTTTAAGCGGGAGACCTATGTTCAACAGTGGACGTCTTGCGGCTGATGACAATGATGGTGAAATGATGGTTTTGTAGACTTATCGCGATCATATGGATCTTGGACGGTGTTAAACACTTAACATTGGGGGACCCGTCTGTATATTCCCTTACTATTATAAATCCACTCTAGAGTTTAATGTACCAATCGCCGACAATATTTTAGACAAATACGATATGTTTCGACGCGATAACACGTTCCCTTACTCTCTCAAGTTTAAAACGCCTAATTTTTAAACACGCCATACAATTACCATAACCATGCATGCATGTCGAAAACGTACACGCGGATTGTTGAACAATAAAAGACCCTTTTTTACTAATTTATCCGAGACACGGTCGCTTCATGGGTAAATTGCTACCAAAAACTCCAACAATGCAGCGATTCAACTACACGATCGACCTAAGAGTTTTATGTGATTTTTGTTTCATTTCGCTTTATTTTTTTTATCATTTACTTTTTCAACCAAATGCACTAAAACTTTATTAACTAAATAAGCAAAAATTACATAGAAGTCTGTAAAAAAATTCATAACTTATATTATTCACATCGGAAAATTCCAGAAGGATCCTAACCACAGCTAATTATTGTGCGCATGAACAAAGTCGCGTTCAGAGGCGTGTTTGTGTGCAAAAATGTATATATTTTGTCCCACTTGCGACATTGAATGCCAGACGCTATTCAATTCCACGTTCCTATTGTGTTAAAATATTTATTAATCCCGCTCACCATTTGTATTGACGTAGGCCAGGCGAGACATGAAATATTCGCCGGTTTCGCTTTCAATTCTTTTACTTTTTCTATTCGTCTTCAGAGAAGGACTTAGAATTACAAGGTTATTTAGTGATTACTTAGAAGGTGTCAAGCCTGCTGGCAGTTTACCTAATGTTGCCCATAGACATTTGCAATACCCGTAGGGTTGCAGATGCATTGCCACCTTTTGATAAAGTGGGTCCCGACTACCTCACACCAGACGACACTCGCTTCAGAACATTTTTTACAGATAATAATTTTTAAGCAGTCCAACTATTTCATTGTTAGAGTATGTTATTACATTTTTGCTTGTTACAACGTTTCACTGTAGGATTTCAGGGAAGAACCAGCAAGCTTCGGGTGTTGAATATTTCTTGTTTTTAATATTATTGCTTGCAAATTCGGTCATGAACAGTACCGCGAATACTGCAAAGTATTCGTAATGGTCGGAAATTAAACAACCAGGGGATTTCCAAATACAGAGCATGTTTCACACATGTACGTCCTCAGTGTACTTCAACAGTGTAGTAGACATTTTAAATTCGGCAGTACTACTAAGAATCTTTCCTGTGCCTATTTTGGGAGAGTACCATAAGATTTAAAGTATAAGGATCTACTAAACAATCTATCTCTTACATACTTAATGATATATTTATTCTTTTAAGAGTATGATACAGTATTCACTAACATATAGACACCTATTGTCTTTAAATATTGGAATTAGAAGAATCATCAACAATTGCATTGTATTTGATATTTTAAACCTCATTGGAAAGTCCTTTCCTCGTCCAGAGAAATCCCTGCAATTCAATATTCTGTTATCTTTGGGCTTATTTTCACAACACAATGCTCTATTTTTGTATTCGTTATGCGCGTGATAAATTTTATTTGTTTACGAAGCTCGTTTCTCTGGTGGCGATTTAAAAGACAGTCTTCTGCACACTGGCGTAATCTGTATATACTGCGTACAACTTATTTCCAATTTTTATCTGTAGCCCTAATTTTCTAGGTGATTAAGTTGTGTTACATGTAAAAAAGTGCAGCAATTACTCAACTACAACCGCAAATTGGATAGAGCTAAATGTCTCTTTTTGTACAACATCTGTTTACAAATAGTAACTGTTTAGGATAAATACGATATTGAGTTATAAATAGGAATCCTATTGCGGGCAGTAAGTAGTAAAGTGCGAAAAGGTTTTCAAAGGAATGGTAAAAATTATCAGAATGTAGAGAAGTGGCGCAGATATTACTTTAATCTCGCCCTAATGTGGGTCAATTGATATAAAATTGTAATAGTCAATTAATAAGACATTAATGTAATGATAACGTAATATTTTTTTCTATTTATTCTTATTTTTACATTTTAGTTCATTTTCTATATAACCATTGTGACAAAAATATTAAATAAAATCGAATATAAATAATTGTCTATGTAATTTAAACTAATCTAAAAAGGACAAGCAAGCAGACGATTAAATTCGTAATTAAATTGACAACTCAAACGGTTTAAAAAAAAAATAATAATAATCTATATTTTTATTTTTATTTATAAACCCAACCAGACGAGAAAACAAATGAATATCCCCCCCATAATAATAATAAAACTAAGCATTTGTGTGTAATCAAAAAGGGAAGCCAAAAACGATTTAATGCTATAGTTAGCTTATAATCAAAATTTTTAATTTTATAGTCTCATTGCATATTCTCGAAATAAATATTTGTTTATATTATATATTAATACACAAGTTATATTCTTAATATTTAAATATAAGTAAAAATGCAACTAGTAGTGCCTCCTCAACATGTTATCAAAAGTGAACAAGACGTAGAGTTTGGGAAATGCGTTTTCCCGTACTTAAAGTAAATTCTTATTACCCTTTCATTTACAGTAATAAAAACTCGTTATCGCAAATAATATTAGTTACAGTGTTATTGTGAATAAGATTGTGTGGAGCGTATTCTGCTGTTATTGTAAGGCGTGATAAGCATTCCAATGTAGAGTCAGACGCATGACCAAAACGTCCGAGATAGCAACAAGGTCGCAGGCTTTACCTTAGCACGTGCCCACTGAGGGCTGTTCAGCCGGCGCGTCTTCGTCGGTCCGGACCGCCCCCAGTTCTAGACCGAGTGGCCAGGAGTCCAACTGACTGCTCAACTGCGGTCCCACGGCGCTCAAAAGGTCCGGATTGTGCCGGATCGCGTCCACACCGCCCGGCACGGCCACAACACGCCGACCGATCAAAACATATCGCTCACGAACCTTTTCGACGCACAGACCCGATTTGCAAAATTTATTCATCGCATCCGCCGAAAACACCTAAAACTTTTACGGTCCCGCGCCCGAAATAGTCACGCTCAATACCACTGACCGCCCCTTATCCGCTGGCGGTTGACACGAAATAACACCAATAACGAAGGAACACCATGGAACGCTAATCCAACTCGACCGCCGTCGGAAAATTCGATGTTGCAAGACACACGCGTGCGGAGCGCTCGCCGGCCGCAGTACCGCGCGGTAAACAGAGAGAGCGCGCCTCAACAACACAATCCACACATGCGCGTCGCGCGTACCGGATTCACACACGCGCAGCCCGCTCTGCGCGCGTCTCGCCGACGCGTTTAAAATAGCCATCACGTCAACACGGACCAATGGGACGGCGCGGAGATCACGTCATACAGACGCCTCATTGGCTAAGAATTCTGTCAGATTACAACCACAACTCGGTTCAATTCGCGATTAACCGAAACTTTTGATAATAATTCTTAAGTGATATCGGATTGGCAATGTTATCGCTATTATCTTAGAAGTTTAAGAAAGTTATTAAATAACAATAATTGTATTACCTAACACTAGCTTAATGTCATAACTATAAGAACTAAATCAATTTTTAAATAACAACTTATATTTTCAGAGGGAATTGCCGGTCGTTGATATCACTATAAGATAGCGCATATCTTGTATGGTACAACTTAATTTTATTCTAATCAACTTGTTTGATTTCGTTATTTTAAAACCTTACACTGTTTTAACACATACATATAGAAATAAACTAAACCGTAAAAATAGCGCAAATGCTAAAGCATGAGGAATGTTTTCTTTATTCTCTTGTTAAATACAAGCGTGGACTTTCATTAACTTGAAGAGATAATTCTGGGTGTCTCTTAATAACAACAACCAATTAACTTAATAAACGATAACATGTAATCTAGTAACAACTGTCCATTGGCTGAACATTACGTGACTCCAAATTTTGAACTCAACTTAAGTATGGGTTAATTTTAAGTAATAGTATTGTTGTAGAAGAGAGAAAAGGCATAGATTTGTTGTTTTTCTGCAACTAAAGTATGTTATAATTTCTCTTTTGTCGCATATAATTTCTCTTTTGTTGTATTTACGCGATTACACATCATTAAATTAAACTACATTTACTTCGGTTACGGGACAGACCATGAACGCTGAATAGGGTTCGAAACGTCAGGAAACAAAATTAGAAAAAAGAAAAGCGATAAATCCTTTAAGTATATTACTTAAGAAGAGAGACAGTTTACTTTTAAAAGTTCCCTCCTCTGGTGAGAGGCTCTTCTTATTTTCTAACTTCTCTGTATAAAGCAGTAACAAACGAGTCCATGTTAAGCCATGTCTAAGACGTGGCAAATAATGTGCTGGCATTGTTGTCTATTAGCAAGACTTTTAATAAAAATTATATGTTTTTTATATCTTATGTTTGTCTGACTACAGAAAACGGCTCTATCTTAAACGATTTTCTCTTAGTTATTTGTAAGAAACTGGCCGCTTCCGCTTTTATTATCATAAGCAGCGGTATTAATTTTCTAGTATAAACAAATACAATAAATGAAAATGATTAATTGTTAGAAAAATTAATTACACGGACAAAAAGTTATAATAGCAAACTCAAAAAATATAAACTGAGACTATGATAATATATTGACGTTGAAACGTTGCTTACCAAGAAGGTTTGAAAAACTTGCAAATCGATAAATTAACAATTAAAAATAATTGTTTAAGCTTTGACCTAAATTTGTTCTTACTTATATTTGCAGATATTTGCTATTTTGTATTCTCTTAAAATAATTCTTGCTTAATAAGTCTATGGCAAAAGCTTTTTGACCTATACAATTTTTCTGCTAAAATTGGACCCTAAAGTAAGATTTTCTTTTCATATTATTTTATCGTTGCCAAATTTTAAAACAGAAAGTAATTTTTTTCAAGGAAATAAGAAGAATAACAAGTTAGAGTGCATTGAAAAATTCAGACAGGACTGGAGTTTTTCACATTTAATCATCTTTAATACCAGGACAAATTTTTGTGGCTGCTATTACAACTTTGACCTACGAATTATTTTGATTTTAACGGTACTTGCAACGCTATCTTTACTGTTTGTACTGACGTGGTAGAGCTGGATGTAGAATAACTTAACCTTCTTTATATATAAATAATAATACGTGATTATTATTAATTTATTAATTTTAAAAACCGACTATAAACTGGGTAAACTATGACATCTAGACGGCCAACGCCTCACTCCTGGTTTCTGAAACACTAATCATCTTAAAAGTTAACTAATCAGTTGTCAAATGGCTTTTCAAATGTCATTTGAGTTGCTAAAAAGATGGTTAAACTCTTTGAATTTATCATTCTGATCAGAAATTATTAAAAATAAACGCGATATATCTGCAATTTTTGCAGTTTCATTTATAATGTGTAATCGCGTATATACAGGAAATTATAATAATGCGGCAAAATTGATGGAAATATAAAACTATTTAAAATGTGCCTCCAGTGATATAGTTTTTAAAAAGCGTATTTGTTTTAGTAATTTGCCGAAGCTTCGGTGAACACGTGCAATAGATAGATTTTTTCATACTATGTTATTTAACACAAATAAATTTATTTATAAAACAGGTAAAGGTTAAAATGTTATCGCTATTGTAGCAGTTTGTTAGCACACAAACATCTCCGTTATTGGCCGGATTGTACCAAGTGTTCCATCCTCACAAAAATGCGGCAAAATACAACCACTTCTCATACAGGGTTCGAATACATACCTCATGTACATCCTACCCAATAACAATTTCTTTTCATTTTCTGAGGTTGCCTGGAAGAAATTGCTGTGTAGCAATAAGGTTGCCTTTTGATGACCAATATTTGATAAATATTTTGTTTAATTTTTTAGTTTTCTTTTTTGGTGTACAATAAAGCATATTATTATTATTATGACATAATATAAATATTCCTCGATTATTTTAATCAAAAGTATATTTATATATCTTTATTATTAGGCCGTCCAAATTTTAATGATGATTTATCAGTTTCTGTTTAGATGTTTCTACATCTAACGTATACGTATACGAGTAGGTGAGCGATGAGCTCGCATATTTTTCTCGGTATTTGAATGTTCCGTAAACAACGTAATTACATTGATCATAGAACAAAAAAGGCTTTAAAGCTCACAACGGAAAAAAAAATAAACGATGCTGATCCTATTATAAAGCAAAATTGATACAAATACACTTTAATCTTCACCTGTCTGTTCAGAAAAAATAAGTAAATATCAAAAACATGTCTTCAGGTCTTTTAACAGCAATGGGATACGAAGGAATAGATGACTTAGAAATTAATTAGTACTTTTTATTTATCCTGGAAATGTATTCTACCACGAACATGCTAAATTATTAAGGATAAATAAGTTTTGATTCCATAACAGCAACAATTTTAATTCCTTAATCTAATGTCTAGACGATTAGATAAGAGAAAGACGAATGCATTTTACGACATGGACTCATGCGGTTTGATACCTTCAATGAACAATATAACCAGTACATGTTTTATACCAAAAAACAAAACTGACTTCAAAAGAGTCACTCTTTTTTATGTGAGTGTATGTGTGTGTGTTCAGTGATAACCACTGCTCACTGAAATTTTGAACAAGTGTTTCTTTATGTGAGAAGGTCGCAAACGATCTAGCAGTTCACTTGATGTTAAGTGATAACCGCCGCTGGTGGCTCCGGCTACCACACTCACCTACATACATAGCTACCGATCGAGCCGAGGTCTTTCCCTCTCGGGCAATCTCGGATCGGAATGCTAAACGGGTATTGACTAACAGCCCAAGCCGAGGTCCCCTCTCAGGGGCCCTTGAGCCTAGATACTTCATGAAGAGTCCGCCAAAGCGCCTTAAGAGCTTGGCTGCCTCCCAAACCGGTGAGATTAATAATAGCGTGATGGCCCGAGCCCAGGCTCCCTCGGGCTTAGTCACCATAACGCGTAACCGAGGTCACCTCAAGTCAAGTCTCTCTCTGGATCTGTTAAGGCCCCTAAGGCCAATAGTGGTATAGTCGTATCATCGCAAAAAAAAAAACAATCACGCCGGTCTTCTGTGAGGTCGTGGTACTTACCCACAGACCTACCCATACCTGCAACAGCGAAGGCTTTTGCGTGGTCGTACCACTCCATATATTGTTTACCATATATATTTATTAACGAAATACAAAACCAACTTCAAATACCTCACTCTGAATTCACTTCATAATTGATTTTCTATTCGGGAGTTCCTTAAGTATGTCCGGAGCCTAATACCAATGAAATTAATATGGGACCACATGGGAAGCACCAGCTTTCAAATAAAAAAAAATCCATCAAAATCGGTCCACTCGGTCGAAAGTTCTGAGGAAAAAAAATACAGTCAAATTGAGAACCTCCTCTTTTTTTGACGTCAGTTGAAAATGGAATACCCTGTTCCTGAACAGTGGCAGAAGTTAACAGTATGGATCTATCGGTTTCTACGTTCTTAGTGTTGAGATTAAAACATTTTTTTAAATTCAACTGAAAGAAAGAAAGAAAGAAAGAAATATTTATTTGGTACATAACAAACAAAACATAAAATAAAAACAAAATAAAAGTAACAATTAAAATTTAGAAATCACAACTTGAAGTCAATGTACCAAAAAGGTCACCACTCAGCATTACATCGCAAAAAAGAGAAGATATTTTTGCGATTACTGATTTTCAGTGGAGCCTGGAGAGATTGATAGATGACGACTTTAACAACAATAATAACATAGACTTATAATTTAACAAAAACAAATTAATTATATACATAACAACAATTGCATTTAACGCCTGTTTGTATGTGTATGTGAGTGTGGTAATTTTTATAAATGAATTGTAAGTGGTAATGTAAGCCTTGGAATTGTATTGTATTGTATTGTTATTTGGAAATACACTCTAGGGTTTCAAGTGCCGGATTTTTGCATTGATATCAGAAAGGCTTTTAATTTAGCTTTGAAGGAATGAATAGACACTAAATTTCTTATGGGGGGAGGGATATCATTCCAGCACTTGGTAGCAGCGAACCGGAAACTACCCGAAAAGCAGCTGTTCGAGACGATGGGTAAACAAGCCGAGGCGCCGTTCTAACGGAGCGCTGAGAAAATTTAAGCTTTTCGAATAAGTATTCCGGTTCTTTGGTTTTCATAACTCCAAAAAGCAGCGAGGCGAGATGAAGCGTTCTTCGGGTGGACATGTTCATCAGGTCGTGACGGTTTAGGAAAGGAGTAACGTGTGAGCGCCTTGGGATGGGAAAACAAAAACGTGCGCAGGCATTTTGTATC